ATAAAAATATCAAGCTTCTAACTATCGAACGCAGAATATCGAGAAGGTGAACCAACTTTATGACGGGGACGAGTACCGCAGGCTGTGATTGTTATGCCTTATCATTTATCTTTTCTGCACATGGAAAAAAATTCAGACCCAGGTCTTTCAACGTCATGTCAAGAGATTGCCCGACCTCATGAAAGCTCTCGCCTATATGTGCTATTGAAATGTGTCGATATGTCGAAAATTGTCGAAACAGGTGAGATTCGATAGCTTTTGGTGATCTAACCAGTGACCGATAAATTAACCACAAAAAATCTGAAGCACAGACTTCTCTATACATAAAGAAGTTTGCGACTGAAGTAATAATATCATGACCTTTGCCAATATCTTCTTATCAATATTTTCCCTTATCGATATTCTGCGTTCGATATTATGCGTTCGATAATTTGCCTTCTTTATTTTGCGATTCGCTGTTTTGCATCTCGACATTTCGTCATGGAATCAGCCCGATCCCCCTCTGTTCTATAGTCTCGTCTTCACAGACTGCGGCGAAAAGAGGCATGGGGAGCTTGTATTGGTTTTCCGGAGTTTTATCCCCTAACTACTTACTCTCCCAAAATCTGATATTGTATTTTGATGGGGCGAATGGTATACAGGCTCGGCACGTGTTTGATTCCTGCCGGGTAGGTACCTGTTCGGCTGTACGCCCCTGATCGCCGTAAATCTTGTGCGAGAGGATTGGCGGACGCCGACCCGCCGCGGCGGCGGCAGCGGCGATTGTTGCCAGCCCTGGGCCGCACCCTTTCGCAGAACCCCGCCGAGGCTGGGCCCAATTATCAGAAAACTACTTTTCGGTTACCGGCTTTCGTGGGAGAGGTCATTGCTTTTCTTTTTCTCTTAATCCTCTTCAGCTCCAGACTAATCCTAATTTGATCTTCTCTCGTTGAATAGTCATCTGATGTGACGGTATACCTTTCACCGAGCTCACTCGCGACAATTTGTTGAGAATAATTGAACTGAGCGTTGTTTGTGGGCAAATAAACGATCGCATCCAATTTTGGGATAAACAGTAAGCACACCCAGCGCCGTTCTTGAGCCAGCGCGCTGGCCACACTGGGCCGGTCGAATGTTACAGTGTCTAGATAGGCCGAGTCAGTATGTGACTGCGGTGGAGCTGACCATAAGCGCTCAGTCCTATCAGTACATAATTATGTAATAAAGGTTGAGGTTAATTAGGAGCACAGCTTGACATAAGTGCTTTTATCCATACCAGTATTTGCTGACGCCATTGGAATCCAGACTGGTGGGTAGGTGCGCTAGAATCATGCTGTCATCAATAATCGCAGTGGCGTGGCTACAAGGCTAATGAAATTAAATAAGCCAATACAGTACAAATGGGTGATGGAATAATGCATGTGTTTCACGACACTTTTATAGATGAACAATAGAGATGGGAACACAAGGAACTTCGGTCGAGTATTGGGTGGATGTGAATATTCACTGAGTTCGTGCTGTAACGACCTGGTAAAGACTGCTGTGGTAGGTTCTATTTACGGAATGTATCTGTATTTCCACAAGCACATGCCACTGAAATCAAATACTGCCAAGAAACAGCCTATTCAGATAGCGTTAGTCTCCGTCCACTCTGTCCTCGGCAGCCTAATGGACTAAGCCTAAGCAATTGTCAATGATCGCTAGAAATCACGCTCGTTTTTCTCGTTTTTTTTTCTGGGTTGATACGAACAAAACACCGTGCTGCGGCGTTCTGCAGGAACCCACCGCCGTGTCTGTCCGTATGTTTGCACGGCCCTCCAGCAAAAGAGTGGTTGGTTAGCCTATTTGCTTTTGGTGTAATAACTTTAAATGTCAGAGACACTCCTGTAAAATGACTCAATAGAAATGAGAAGAGGGTTCATGCACACATTTCGGCAGTGGTTTTCAACAGCCAATAGACGTATTCATCAATGCAGATCGATTTTTGTGATGTTGGCAACCAACCACTTTACCTGCTCAATTTGTCGATTTGGGTGGGAAACGACATCCAAATGAAAATCATTTTCCACTCTCACCTCCAGTTTTCAAGCCCAATTTCCCACTCCCAATTCCACCGAGAAAGAGCAGTTGCGTTAATGGTTGTTTTGCATCAGTCACAATTGTAGATAGATAAATGTTTTTTTCAAATTTCTTCATTTTCCCACTCTTTTTGGGCCTTACCTTACCGACGATTTTTCACTCTCATCCTTTCTTTGGTCAGACATTTTCCCCTCTGACACCCAAGCAAAAATATAATTTTGGGACACTACCTGGAGGGCCGTACTTACATATAGTGTGGAAGAGTACTCACAATTACCAACCTATGCATTAGTATAACCACTTGATGGGAAGTTCACATTGCCATATACTCGTGCCAAGAGCGCTAGTTTTGCCGCTTGCACTTGTAGACAGACCTCGGCCCTAGCCACTTTTTTTATTCGTCAGTTGACGACTTTTATTTGCGAGTAGTTTCGCTCCCTGACCCAATCTTACGAAAGCCGTAGAAAGGCTTTGGTTGCACTTACTAAAGTTGAGCTGCAGAAAACGACTATAACAGGTTTTTACGCATTTTAGTCCATCGTATATTGAGGGTCCCAGGAATCGTTTTGTTTAGACGGATACGCATTAGCCACCACTGGTATCCGTCTACATCATACATGTTATCCAATGCCGTAAACAGAATAAATGATGGGGCACTTTAGAGATTAAGCCCTTGTTCAGCTATTCTGAGCTAATATACGAGTATGGTGGATGCTCTGTTAATGTGCTACACGGTCTGTTACGTCACCGGTCATAATGTTTCTGGGTATTGAATAAAAAATAATTGATAAGTAATATAACAAACTAAGCCCTGTCATGCTAATCGGTAATGAGTCGCCGCGTCGTTCTGGCTACTGCGGACGGCCAGGCCTCTGCTCTGGTGCGTCGGGGAGACCCCGGGGTCCGGCGGAGCCCTGAGCTAGCCGGGCCGCCTTCCCGGGAGGTCGGACGGGTGCCTCCGTCGGCCCGTCGCCCGGTGTCGGGTCAAGGCACTATCACAGGCTGCGGGTAGGCCGTCCGGCCCTTCAGCTGGCCGGGATGGCATACGTGGCTAGACGGCGCTGTGCTGGCCTAACCGAGTCTGGAATAAACTCTTTGATCTGAGTGTGTCATGCTTGACGGTGTCTGCGCCCGTACTAAGTGATAGAACTTTGAAGCCATGGATATTTTTGTCTTAGAGTCTGATCTAGCAAGGCTGGTGTCCGCGCCGCAGATAATCCGGGGTTCGGCGCAAAGCGGCAAGCCTGGCTCAGCAAAGGTGGGCTGAATGGTTAGTGTGCTGGGTTCAGTGGCAGACTCGGTGGTTAGATTAGGGTGCTGAGGTCAGTGGCCCTTGCCAGGCTCGGTTCTTAAACCTCGCCGAACCTATTGGTTTACTGCATACTCGCCGGCCAAGGGGGGGGGGTTAAACAATATACAACCCTTCCCGTCGTCGTTCTGCCCCGGATGGAGCTAGCGCCTCGCGAAAAAAAAAAACGCGCTTGTGCGCCGTTACGAAACGCAGCGACTGGTACTCGATTTTAAGGTCTCAGGTCAACCGGTGACCTCTGAGGTCAGGTCAAGTGACTCAAGACACGGGTTTGGTTTTTGGTAAATAACGTCGCAAAAATGGCCGCGGAGCTGCGATTCTGGCACCACACCATCGTGTTCGCCTCGTTCAGGCGCGTCGAATGGCACGTCTTTTTGTTTGGGATGAGGTCAAGTTCAGATTTTGGCCTTGGGTCAAGGTCAGGTCAGAGCTCCCCAAGTCACGAAGTTGGTAGAATGGGTTCATAGCGCATATCATTCGAGTGGGCGTCATTCGCTTCCCGAGTCCATTGGTTGCTTTCCCGACTCACTAGCTCAATTTGATCGGGAGTTATTGACGAAAAACTTATGACCCTATTGACGTAATAAATGACGTCACGCAAGGTTAACGATGCAAAAGTCAAGCATCGGACCTTTCAAGAAGTGTATGAAACCACGATTCAGTGTGCTTGAGATAGTCTGAGATCGTTCCCGGCGCCAAAATAGCCGTTTTCATTTTTTCCCCATTGACTTAAAATGGTGAGGTCATGTGACCGACCTGACCACATGTAACCTTCAGGAAAAATCTGAGATATACAAGTTGTTAGAGCTCTGGAAGATACTAGATCCTGTAAGCTTCATCTCGCTGTGAAAGCTGCTCTGGCACTGAGGGTGTTACGAAGTTGCGGCATATGAAGACTGTGCAGAGGTTCACTTATGACGCCATAGGTCAGTGACTTGACCTGACCTGAAAAAGCGGTTGGTGTTACAAGATCCGGCTTGAATCAAAGGTCAGGTATGCCAAGTTTCAGCTCTCTATCGCTGGCGTGTTTCGAGCTATCGCAAAAAAAAACGTATGGGGGCGGCACCCCCTCGGCCGGCGAGATGTGAGGTAAATGACAGATTCCGTTGCGGCAAGAAAACAGTGTTGTGATCTGTTAATTGTTATGTCTTGCATCTATATCGGTTGTCATTTTATTGCGTCTCTCTCTCTCTCTCTCTCTCTCTCTCTCTCTCTCTCTCTCTCTCTCTCTCTCTCTCTCTCTCTCTCTCTCTCTCTCTCTCTCTCTCTCTCTCTCTCTCTCTCTCTCTCTCTCTCTCTCTCTCTCTCTCTCTCTCTCTCTCTCTCTCTCTCTCTCTCTCTCTCTCTCTCTCTCTCTCTCTCTCTCTCTCTCTCTCTCTCTCTCTCTCTCTCTCCTTCTCTCTCTCTCTTTCTCTCTCTCTCTTTCTCTGTCTCTCTGTCTCTCTCTCTCTCTCTCTCTCTCTCTCTCTCTCTCTCTCTCTCTCTCTCTCTCTCTCTCTCTCTCTCTCTCTCTCTCTCTCTCTCTCTCTCTCTCTCTCTCTCTCTCTCTCTCTCTCTCTCTCTCTCTCTCTGTCTCTCTCTCTCTCTCTCTCTCTCTCTCTCTTCTCACCTCTCCCCCCACCCTCCACCACAGGATGGACGCGACGCTGAAGGAGCTCACCTCGCTGGTCAAAGAGGTCAACCCGGAGGCGCGCCGCAAGGGCACCTTCTTCGACTTCGCCCAGGTGTACCCGGAGGTGGGCGGCAGGATGGGCGGCGTCGGATTCCGCATGCGCGAGATCGGCTCCACCTGCTCCGGCCAGAAGGGCGCTGATGACGCCAAGACGTTAGCGTCGGTCCGGTGAGTGGCTGGGAGGGACGGGGTCGGTTAGGGTGGGGATGGGTTGAGAAAAAGCTGCATGAGTCACTGTTGTTAAATCTCCATTCTCCGTGAAGTCGTCGACCCAGAGTATGCGACTCCTTCATTGTCTGTTGGCTCCGTGGTGGGTTTGCGGACGGGATTTGCGCTTACCGACTGGTAGGTCGTTGACGCCCGGCGCCTATCGGACGTTCCTTGTGCCTGAGGAATGTCCCCTGGCGTATCCCCTTCTCCGTCGATGATCGTCTGAGACCTCTCTGCGGCTCATCTGGCCGCCTGACGCGCTCTGTTCACCTGTACAGGTTCACGATCGGAGACTACATGGACATCGCCATCACCCCGCCCAATATGCGCGGCGGCGGCCCGATGATGCGGCGAATGCGCCCCTTCTAGACCCGTGGCGAGTGACGCCGCCCTGGTGGTCGACTCAGCAGCTGTGAGGCTCGCGGTGAGCGGCGCAGAATACCGCTCGGTCGGGGACCAGGTCCAGGGAGGTGACGCCGCGTCGGACTCGGCCTCAACAGGAGTGCGGTACACAACACTGCCCTGGGCGAGCACCGCCCGGTCCAGTCAGGGACGCCCGGCGTTTTACCGCCGACAGTGTGTGTGGGGTTGGGGAAGACGCTCTTGAGGGAGCAAGATGCCCGCTCTTTGTACATGTGAACTATGTGCATCATCATCATCCATGTGTGTATGGAATTGGCCGACACCCGTGCCCCGTTTTAGTTCAGAAACTTGTGTTTACGTTCGATCGTATCTCGCCGTTGGACTGGATGTGTATGACGGCTGGACAAGTCCGGCGTTTGGTTCTCAGAGGTCAAAGTGCCGGCGGAGATATCGCCTCATTGCAGACATGGAGCGCTCCCAAATATACGGGCTACGCCGAGTGCGGTGTGTTTACTCGATAGTAGACGGATCCCACGTGCAGTGCGCGCGGCCCCCTGTTTTGACTCGTCGGCTGAGGCACGTGCCGCCGCCCCTGCACGTGTCGACCTCGGTGAGAGTTGATCATGACGCAGTTCATGGTGTTACCGCTAAGGACGGGCGGCTCGATCGATATGCTGTGTGGAAGGTGGGGTCTTACCGCTACCACAGGAACACACACGTGGCGAGTCAGGTCAGACAGGTCAGCAGAGTGGGGCTATCTAGGTCGTGCGAGGGAAGAGGTGTCCAGGTGCTCCTGAGGGGCCGCGCGGTAACATCACGGCTCAGTGGCCCTCGGAAGCCGTCAGCGCCGCCACGCCTGGGGCGGGGGACAGTGATGTCACCCTGTCGCAGCTGTCCCAGGACAGGGCTGGCGCACTGGCCCATACCGGGAACGGGCCTCTGGCGGCGGAGAGTGACCCTGACCCCAGCCAGCGGGAGTGGCCGGCGGCGCCCGGGGGTCGGTGCTCGGCACGGCGACTGGGGGTCGGGCACAGGTCAGGCCGCTGGCCGCTGCTGTGGAGCGGAGGATAATCAACCGACATCCACTTACACCGACAGAAGTTATAGGCATCATTTTAAAGTTCCGGCTCTGTCGTCCGTCATGGAGACCTCCCATCACTGATATATTTTGTTTGTTCTAAGAAAGCATCCGATCCACGTGAATGGTCACTTCTTCATTTCATGACAAAAACGTGATTCGCTTCTTTTTGTGAGCTGACGTGTCTCCCCTAAAATAGGCACAGGACGGGGTGATCAGACTTTGTTTACGCCCGCGGTGACCTTTAATATACACAAGCGAGATGGAGTCGTCAACGCCCCGCGAGAAATGCCCTGCAACACAGATATGGCCATTGCATAATGTATTACTTCATTTATGCAAAGCGTTGGCGTTGGTTCAATAGGAGACCATATAATGGATGGGATGCTTGAGATTCGGGTCGTAGGAGTTTGAATTTGTGTGGCTATTGTGGAGCCGATGTAAACGGAATGCGTCTGATGGCGGTGCCCTGTTATTAGAGCTCGTACTACGCAGAGCTGGGCTCCATTCGGGCCGTCGGCAAAGTATAGGTGGCGTCGCCGGGCCGCTGACGTGAGCCGTGTTCACCGTAGCGCGCTCGTGACGCCGCGGCCGGGCGCGTCGGCCATTACCGATGATAAGTGTGTAAGGCGGCCCCCTTCCCGGGAACTGAGCCGGCCAGAGGGTCACTGGAGGGCGGCGCGCGCCGACAGCCGCCCTCGGAGGGCACGATGGGCGCGCCATAGCGGATGTGCTCCTCGCAGCATCGCTAGATCAACTTCCAGCCGAACAATGGCATGACTAAAAATGCCGAGAAGTGCAAGTTTATGCGACAATAAGTATTTGTTCCCGGATGAAAGGGGTGACATTATCACTGGCTATCGACCGTTTCGGTTTCGCGGTACCGCTGGCAGCCACTCCCCCATAAATTTGGCGAGTGGGTGGCGCCGAGCTAACAGCCGAACTGAACAACCGCCATACCGTATACCTGACTATCATCCTTATACCGCAAAATGCAAATCACTTTTCATCGTTTTATTCCAGCCTGTTTCATTTCATCGACAGATGCCGTTATGTCAGCAATGACGTCACCAAGAGGCATAGATACGCTACTTCTCCATTTGCCTGGCAGCAATATAGAATTACCTACAATGCAGGCACCCGGAAATTTTGGGTGACTTAGCTGCCACTAATGTGTAGTGACTACACCTCGGGCTCATACCATGGAAAGGCTGTCCGATTAAGAGCGATGTTATTTGAGTTCCGCTCTCCGACGGTCGTGGGTGCATCACAAGATAAGGGGGCCGCCCAAATGGCTGTTTTTGTCATGCTCTTAATCTTTTGGCTTGACCCTCACCGTACCAATTGCTTTTCGGCATTCCGCAGCTCGAGGGGGTTAGTGTGTCCCCCTCAAGATTACTTTACCGCCCCTCTTGCCGTCTTGCCCCTAACTTCGCTGGAGCTTCGAGGACTAATCCGGCGTTTGAGCCGTTACGAGACGCAATACACACACACACACACACACACACACACACACACACACACACACACACACACACACACACACACACACTCAATTTTAAAGTAATGCCATCAATGGTGACCAATGGGGTCAGATCAAAGGCTCAATGGCAAGGGTTCTTTTTCTTTTTGCGAACCCACGTCCCGCTGGGGCTGCTATAGGGGTATCCAGTATCCACGCCCTGCGGGTGATGTTTAAACACCCCTCCGGCCTCGATCTTACCTTCTAACTCGGCTCCTGGGCCACGTAGTGACACGCAGTAAGCGGCGTTCAAAAGAGCGTCAAAATTATGACGAAATTGCATCAGTACTTTTGAGTTCAGGTCAAAGGTCAGGTCACCAGAGGTCATCAAAGCTCAAGTTTCGCCTATTTCGACAAACTGACGCATGTATCTCGGTAACGTATACAGCGCCACGGAAAAGTGCATTGGACAACTCCCTCAATGCTCTTTCTGAGCAATGCTCTAATCCTGTTCCTCCCGTTCAGAAGCGTCGAATGAATTATTATTTGACCTCAAAAGGTCGAATTGAAAGTTCATCATAAGGTCAAGATCTTGACCTAACCGGAAAAGGTCGTGTTGCATATCAGTCCAGTGCATCGTGGAGCTGAACACATCTGCGGGTGTTTTCATCGCTCATGCATATCGCTATCAAAATGTACTGTCGAAAAACTTTTGAGGACTTTTCGTTGCCTGAGCTGACCTCAGGGGTATAAAGAGGGATCGCGGGAGCAATTTTTCGATTCAGTATTTCTAGTTAACCTGTTACTCTAAATGTTTGGGAGTGTTTAGAACGACCCTCGTAAAGAAGCACGGTTCAATTTTCTCCTATTAGCTGAAATGGAGAGGTCGCAAAACTGACTTGACCTTAGGTCACCGATATCGAAAGTCTAAGATATAGATTATAGGTGGTATACATGCTGATACTGTTGCGCTTATCAATTGTAGAGAGCTTCAAAGTCATCGCCGCGCCGGTCGGTCGGTGTACATATAGCTCTATGGCTGGCATTGGAACTTCTGAGATAGGGCCACTTGACGTGACCTGGTGGCCTGACCTTGATAGACTAATATTTTCACTGAATATGCAGAAAAGATTATGCCTTTATCATATATGCTGAGCTGATCTTTAAAATATTTTCGAAAAACCGCCTGGAGAATGTTCAAACGTAGGACGTGGGTGAATAATTTTGCCCCCTCCCCCCTCCCAAGAAAAAAAGAACTCTGTTTACGTTTGATAAGTGCAACAGTAGGCCTTCCTAATAGACCCATCTCTCAAAATTTATATATCGATGACCTAAGGTCAGGTCAATTTTGCGACTTTTTTATTGGATTAGTCAATAGAAAAAATTAATTGTGCTTCTTTTGGACGAAAGTCATGCTTAACACTTTCAAAAATCTGGTTATAGGTAGAGTGTAGACATGAACTACTGAGTTGAAAAATTGCACCCGTGACCTCTGTTTATAACCCTGAGGTCATCGCAGGTCACGAACACGCGAAACAATTCCTAAAAGCTTTTAAATAATAACTTGTGTGTTCCGCTCCGTGATGAAGATCAGCAACTATACAACACGACCTTTTCCGGTCAGGTCATGTCTGTGACCTTGACCCTCGCCCCGGCAGGGAGGGTCGATGCGACCCCCCCCCCCCCTTGAGGCCTTTTGCGATGGACTATTAGTCGGACCATGCTTACATTTTTGCATTGCCTCTGAGACATCCTTTGCGCAACTTTTTGGTAAAAAAAAATTGGGTCATGTCAGGTCACCGAGATATGACGTCCTACAACCTCCGACCGTTTTTGCCAAAATCGTTTATTAGGGCGCGGGTTAAGTTTCTTTGTCATCGTGCGCCTTTTACGCGGATTATTCGCGAAAAAAAAAACGAGGTGGTCCATTTCCTCCATTGGCCTTCTCGACATCGACCCCCCCCCCCCCCCTCTTCTAAAACTGGGTCAATTTATTCTCCCTTTGACTTATTGATGAGGAAACGTGACCTCATGAACACGTGACCAACATGACCTCATATGGCTTTCATAGAAGAAAAAAATCAGATCAACAAGTTACGAATACTCTGGAGAGCTTCTTCTGCATGTATAGTCTGCATGTATAGGAGATATACATGCGGAGAGAGAGCTACTTCCGCATGTATATCTCCTTTCAAAAGATTCCCTGGCAGTGAAGGCGTTACAAAGTTGTGACATTTTAGGATCGTCCATAGGCTGGTTCACTTATGAAGTCATAGGTCATTGTTCTAACCTGACCTGAAAATGCGGTTGACTGTAAAAGATTCAGCTTGAATCAGAGGTAAGGTCTACCAATGCTAACTGCCTACAATAAACATCCCCCTCCCGCCGCAAAACATCGTCATGAATCGGGCACGCTGAGCCTCTCCCGATCCGATCCATGAACCTCATTTTCTTCTCGGCGCACTCTCCCTGCACTTCGAGCTGTGGTCTTTGCGTTTAGCCCTGCTACCTCGGAGGCTGACTGAGCGACACTACGGTCGGTTACCGAAATCCCATTCGGCCTCCTTTGCTCGCAGTGCGCACCGCACGCACGCGATCACGATCAGTATGCGGAGCGGTATCTGCCATAGATTCATCACGGATGCATTACCGCTCCGTTAGGCCGGATACCATCACCATTCCTCGACGAGCCCGGTTGCAGTCTCAGAGACACAAGGTCATGTGAAGGCGGCCAGCGGCTCGGACACCGCCGCGCGGCGGCCACGCGTCCGCGTGCGGCGCAGCGCACCTGTACGCAGCCGGTGCACGCGGTTCCTGGATCGCGCACCCGCTCCCAGCTCCGCGAACGCCGCCACGCCCGAGGCTATTTATCAGAATTGGCCAGTGGCGTGTGCAGGCCACGGTCCGCGGCGGGCTCAAGGCCGCGCGGCGCCGGCCGTGTGTAGCGCCGCTGAAATCGGCCGGCAGCGCTGCGGTGCACGGCGCGGCGCTTGGACCGCCCCTGGCGCTGCGAGCTGGTGTAGTTGGCCTGACAGAGCCGTCCGGTCGCCAGTCGGTGAAGCTGCCGTGCTGCCGGCGGAGTGGTCACGGTCGCAGCGCCGGCGCGTTGTCTCGGGCCAGATTTCCTCAACTCAGTAAGTGTCTGGTTGCGTTTTTAACAATCGTGTATTACAGCAGTAACTTGTGTTACATAATGATGAAGGTATATATCCCCGTTTCATTGTCGCAACATTTATCAAAGAATGTTGATGTGCACTGCGCTATATCCTTTCCTGCAGCTATATTATTGCAACTCATACTGTGCGAAATACTTAAAAAATAGCATTCTACTCAACGAAAACCTTAGTTCTGTTATATCAAGGAATAGTTTTTCTTGTTGTGGGCTCTATGTTGAAAGGCCGCGTAAAGATAAGTAAACGCAGTATTTTTTACTCTCCACGAGCTGCCGAATCAAAGAAATGCTGCCACTTGCGCGGCATTTGTGGATAGTAGGTGACATTTGTGGACGTTACGCTTTTGCACGCATTTTTGTATAGCCGCGAAACGAATTGAATTCGTTGAATTCAAACGAATTGAATCAGAATTGTTTGATTGCGTGTTGAGGCAGCTAACAGTAAGGGCTAAAGCAATTCAGATTATTTTACTGATGGCACTTATCTTTGGTACCAGCCGATGCCTTCAAATGCTGGCTAGGCCTCCTTTTCTCGCCTTTAAATGTATGTATTATCATTATGTTTCGGATCAGAATTATGCAGATTCGGTACCTATGCCGGCGGCAGCCGCCGGTTCTCACGGGTTTAGTTTTGTGTATAAAGAAACTGGTGATAAACTCGTAACTCCGCTTATTTTCATTTTAAAAAGTACATTATGTCATTGACTATTGTGGATTCTATTTTAAGATTTGCTAAAAGCTGCAATATGTGATATTCAGGAACTTGAAGTAAAGTAATAGGTACTAAATGCAAGTTTTTTTTAGTTTCAATTGCCTGAATGGTCTCGTGGATGTCATTTTACCCTTTTCGGGGCTATGAAAAATGCAGCTAATCCCATTTACAGTTTAACCTTTAATAAAACCCTTGGGCTTCTGTAATGTGGCGTGTACCAGAAGTTGTAACACATCTGTTTTTATTTTGTTTTTTTACCAAGTTGAGCTGCCAATGTGTAGCTTTTCTAACTTCTAAGGTCATCTCATAGGTGCCTGTTCTCTTGTATTCTGATGAGAAGCATGAAAAATGAGCATATCTTTCATTATATTGATGATTGGTATCAAGCAATGCTGTCCTATAAATGCATAGGATGTAGCATTCATTTAAGTGTATTTTAGATGCACACTTTTATATCCTTGACTTTGTATGCTCCAATTGCTTTTTTAAGTTTCTTAGCTTTCACTTTATTTGTGTGACTATTTTTAATTCATTTTTTCATGCAACTTTTGAATCCGTGACATTTCTTTATTTCCTTTATAAGTATTGAAGCTTTCCTTCGGGATATCAATAGAACATTTTATCAGGAAATAGATATACTGCACAAAGTGATTGTTGATGTTTTAAGCTTTGCTTCAACATGAAAGCAGACGCAAAACTTGCATGTTCTCTTGCTAACATGGATCAAGTACAATTCTGACAAGCTGTTTTTGCCTGTTATTGGGTCCTCTCTTGTACCTGTCACCTGACTGCCATTGTCCTACATTATTTCACTCATGCAATATGTTATGTGTTAGAACTTAATTGAACAGCTTGTCACACCAGTATATAGTTCCATTTTGGGAATGGCACCTGCCCAACCCACCAGCTGCATGGGAACATCAAATACTACCAATGCCTGTCAAATCAGGCACCTTATCAGTTGACATGTGGCTGCTGTGTGTCCCGGCCACTCTGGCCGTCCGTTAGCCGCCGGCCCAGGTGGCGGCGGTGGCCGTCCGTCCGTTTACCGTTACGGCTGGGCGGGGCCGGCCGCCATGACCGGCGGCAGCACGTGCTCCGCCGTAAACACGGCCGCGGCAGACCGTCCGATCGATCGATCACGTGACTCACGGACCGGGCGGAATCGACCGCCGGCGCCCGTGTACCGGACGGAATCGACCGCCGGCGCCCGTGTACCGGACGGGTGCCCCGAGTCAGCTGCTGGCGAGGTGCCCGCCCCCTCCCGTGACCCGTCATCCCCCTGATTGGGGGTCTGAGCCCAGTGAGAAAACCCAGACGTGAAGATACCATTGAGTAGGTGCTCAACACGTGTTGCATGGGTTTGTAGTTTCGGGCGACTCGCTCCGCTGATGTGGCGGCTGGCTGTCCTGTTAGCTGCCGCGCTGTCCCCGAACGCCGGACCGATCGGTGGTCCGCTGTCACGTGGTCCAAGCCTCCGGGCGTGCTCTGCCGGCTGGCTGTCAGTCACTCATGAATGAATGGATCTCGGCCCCGGCGGCCCGATAACGGCTCTGTCAACAGGACAGGTGTCAGCTGAGGATCGCAGGCGGCGCGGGGCAGTTTTTTTCTCTCTCTGTGGGCGGTCCGGTGCCGTATCCGGCTGGTCGCGTGCTCGGCCGGTGTGCGTCTGACCTTGTATCAGGAATGTGTGACGTGGTTCGCTGCCCTGTCACTGGAACATGGGTTCGGGCCGCGCGGTCGGCGTACTGGTAGATCGCTGTCGTTGGGAATTTTTCCGGATGCGCTTTTGTGAAAGGACTATCTTGGTCGTATCAGTTCTCGGGTAGATTGTAGACCAAAATAGCATGCGTCCTGCCGGCGCAGCGGCGTCGTGCAACCGTTGTCAGGAGAAACACGTTTTGTTGTTACCGTGCATGTGACTAGAGGTGTGCGGTCTCAAATAGTGTTGGATTGGAGGATGGCCAAGAAGTTTTGTTGCCAATCTATTAAATTTCCACTTACAGCAACACCATACCGTTCAAGTGCATCTCCCGAAAGGTGGAATCGGGATCTTAATGACACCAAGATGTCACAAAGTTATGCAAATATGTGGTGAGGGACCCTGTGTGTTTATTCGAGGAATGTTTGGCGGAGGTAATCGCGATCAGTTATATGAGAGAACGAGTGATAGTTATTGTGATACACGATATATTAAGTAGCACTTAAATCAACACCAAAACTTACTGACCACTGACCAGCGACCACGTTATATTTACTTTCACCGATCGCCGGCCGTATGACTAACTGTTCACTCTCAGTCCTCAGATTCGGTTCAGCCATGGCCGGCAGCAATTTGCCCGAGTTTTGTCTGGACTACCGCAAGTACACGGTGGAGATGATCAGTGAACCCACGGCAGCCATCATCAAAAAGGTCCGCAAACAGATGGACGAGGTGGCCTCCGTTCCAGACGACCAGGTGGGTTTCCTGTGTGGGTTTCCTGTGTGGCGAACGATCTTCAGTGTGTGGACTGTGGAGTATTGTGCTTGTTGATATGGCTAAAATCACTCAAATCGATATGAAATTAGAACTACACGTATTTTTCTGGCACTGAAGTGTGTGTGCCACCTAGGACAGAAAAGTGGAGAGAGGACTCGAAGAGAAGACTACGGTTAACTTACATGGAACAAGTAGCAATCACGCTCGTTTGAGGTTGTTGTAATTGCAAAAGAAGATAGTAATGTGTGGACTAGGAATGCTGGACACTGTTTCATGGCCGCGAAGATGAGAAATATGAACCCTCAGTAAATTTACAGTGGGCAAATGTTAAAAAATTGCTGAGCAATTGTTTATTCCCTCCTTTCTGATCACTGATCGGTTAACGTCACCAAAGTGTATGCGTTGATAATCGAGATTTAATTCATTGGCCGGTCGTCCTGTCGAGATTGTGTTGGAGTTTGCTATCTCGGTGTTTCCGCGGGTGGCTCGTGGCCGGTGTGCGGGGCGGGTGAATGGCGCCGGCCGCTATCCCCCGGTCCCGTCCCGTCCGACCGTGCGCGGCGGCCGTTAGGCCCGCGGCCGCCGCCGGCCGCCGCCGCTGCCAGCTTCCTGCAATAACCGACCGCACTTGGTATGCACCATATCAAGGCGGCGGTACGTACGGCGGGCGCCGAGCGGCTGTTTATAGCTGCCCACATAGTACTCGCTGTCCAGGGTTCAAGGTTTGCAGCCGATTGAAGACTAGGGTAGTGAATGAATGATTGGCCTATCGCGGTCATCGGCGGATGCAGTGCATCGCTGATATTGCCCCGCAAACGGGAACGCTCCGCTGACAGGCAACGCGGCTGTTTTGGTGAGCGCCTGTTCGATGTTGAGATATTGAAGGGCTGGTTCCATAAACAGCGCTGCTGAATTAAATTCCTTTTAAATTGTGGCAGTGGCACGCACGTTTATGACTTCTCACATAACGGTCCTGCGACAATGAAGTTCAGCCCTTTCGAATTTCAACTGAGTTATTTGTTAAACTAATTATGGTAGATACATATCGTGCGGAAGTTCGGGGAGCGTTGGGTCTCATTATTAGTCATCCCGCTCACTGCTCGGTGCACAATGCTATTGTTTTGTTTATTTATGCAATATGTATGATACGTCATTGGACCATCCACAGCATCTGTGACTGGACTATCCTTAGCCAGATTGTCTGCATAGTCTGTGGTCGCCTACCTGGTTTGAAATAGGATACAATTTTCAGCCGCAAGTACCTACGTCCCAGTCGGCCTTAGCTGTGGACGTAAGGTGTGCTGCTGAGGAGGTTCCGCCACGAGACGTAAGGTACTCCACTGTAGATTTAAGGTACTTCACTGTAGATGTAAGGTACTCCACTGAAGACTTCAAGTGTTCCACTGTATGTAGACGTAGGGTACTCCACTGTAGACTTCAAGTGCTCCACTATGGACGTGGTACCCGCTGTCCACTGTGGACTGGGCGCTCCACCGCGGCCACACTGTGTTGATCTAACCGTCCGGCGCGGTCTGCGGTCAGCCTATCAGCGTGAACGGGCCGCAATGGACCCATCCCGAATACCGGCGGCCGGCCGCCGGCGCCTGTGGTCGCCGCTGACGCTCGCCGCGCTGGGAACGGGCGTGACTCGTGGTATGTGGTGTTTGGCTCCTGCTGGGAGCGGCGGTCGGACCGCAGCGCGGGCGAACACAGCGACTCTCCGTGATCAGATCACGCCACATCACTGGTGTCGGCTGAAAGCCCAGGCCCTTAGCCCTCGCTCCGTGGTCAGGTCGGGTTAGGTCAGGTCACCACTCACCGTTGACCCCTGCCGCAGTCCAGACTAGTTCTCTGCATCTGCCCCATATGGTCCCCGTTCAGGTCGGCCCATATGGTCCCCGTTCAGGTCGGCCCATATGGTCGCCCTCCTCAGTCGGTGTCCGTCAGTTCGGGGCGCCGAACAGCGATCAATGACCAGCCTCACCATCGGATGTGTCTTACACGGCCGGCCGACCAGCAGGTGGATCCTCCGTAACGGCTGTTTATTTATCCGTTACTATAATCGTGATGTGGCCGGCTGGGCGCGGGTAGAATGCCGCTGCTCTATTTAGATTTAGATCCGTGATCGCTTCAATGAATGCAGTACGGTAACATTATTTCTATCGACAGGTTGGCGAGTTTGGTCAAATAAAAATCCTCTCACGTATTGTATAATGCAATGCAATGAATTCGTGCCGCGTGCCGCGCCCACCGTCTGTCATGTGTGATTTATGGAACGTTCGACTGCCGTCGACTTGATCGGTTAGCGTTTTATTATGTTTATTTTTCAACCGGGCACCCGGAGACGCGTTTTGTCACTGAGCCGGCCCCGATCCTTTTTTCGTGCGTGGTTTGATATGAGTGGAGTTAATTTGGAGGCTCAGAATGGGGTGTCGCTGGTTTGACCGGGTTTTTATCATAGTGCTGCGCTAACCCTCGTTCGCCAGCGGCGATTCGACGGTGCTTGATGGTTCCACTGGTTCTATCTTGACTCGAGGCCAGTTTTACCAAGAGCAAAAAAATGACCAACTGCGCATTTTTCCCTTCAGTCGCCCCAAAGCCGTACCTATAGTCGCCCCCCCCCCCCCCGATGATTTGAAAAATAAGACTAGCCAGCCTTCTTTATAGGTATGCTTTCACATCAACGGTTGTTTTTTCTCGTGTATGCTTTAATTTGGGAGAGACATTAAGAAATAAGAATAGTTACGTAGCTGACGATTTTTCTGGTGGTAAAACTGGCCCCTGACCTTTTTCTGCCTCGTGTTACTAAATGCTCTGAAAATGACTTTCGGGTAGTCATGTTCTCGACTTTTTTTCTCCTTTAAAGGAAAAGGGCCACCTTCGTGAAATATGAAGATATCGTTGTTTTTCATTTTGACATTATTATTTTTCATTTTCTTTTTAAAACTGGTGCCATAAGTGCACAATTCGCGAAAAAGTATTTAAAACTATTTAACATATTGGTACTATGTTGATACTCTCTACGGCACCTACTGTATGATGGCATAGCGATGACGTCACACTCAAGCCAATCAGCGTTCAGAAGACAGACTCGTCAGATTGTGTCAGATAAGCTGATTGGTTAAAGCTGAGCTGGTTGGAGCTGATTGGTAAAAAACCAAAGCCTCGCCGCGGGTGGCTGTATTGTCGGATAAGAACGCATTCCTGGGATAAGGACGCATTCCTGGCGTATTTTCTTTTAAAATTGCCGATAACTACGAATGGAGGCCGAAATCGGCCCCGTAAGGAGATAGACAGATAGGTTTTCGGACACGGGCTACAAGATGGCTATCTCAGTTTCAATCCCCATGTTAAAGGTTGCCCTTTTCCTTTAACAACCCTTCAACTGGCTCTTTTTCTCGCCTCGCAGCTTACTTTTCCGCCCGTGTAATCGACTCTGCTGCTGGTCCTGCTCTGTACCGTTTATACCGGACCGACTGACCCTGTTGGCTACCGTTTATATTGACCCAGGACCGGCTGCCGGACCCGATATCCGGCCGTGTCTCTGACCCCATGTCCCCGCGGTGTGTCCCCAGCTGACGTACGAGTCGGTGATCGGGCGGCTGGCCGACATTGAGACCGAGCTGGACACGTTCACCAGCTGCCAGGCGCGCCTGCCGGCCGCCGCCGCCACCGACAAGGCCGTCCGGGATGCCGCCAGCGAGGCAGAGAAACAGCTGGAAAAGTTCAGCATCGAACTCTCCATGCGCAAGGACATCTTCGACAAGGTGGGCTGCGGCCGGGCGGGGCTGAGTGCCGTGGCCGGGCCGGGCTGGGTGCTGTCTGTGATCGGGGCGGACGGGCCGGGCAGGGTGCTGTGGCCGGGCCGGCCGCCGGAGGGTCCAGCCGCGGATATCCGCCGCCGACCGGACCGGACCGGGTGTCTGTTGATGCGCGGTGTTTACGAGCGGCCCCGGGCTCCGGCGGCCGCCGACGGGCCGTGAATCAGAGCGGCGGAATCCGGTATCGATGGGCGCTATCGGCCCCGCGAGCGCCGCCGTGGGCCGCCGCGCGATGGTGAGCAGATACCTACCGTAATGGCGCCGCTAATTATAATGCTGGCTTGTGATACAAAAATGAATTCCAGTTCTCGGTAAAACGCTGATGGCATCATCGTTGCGGTCCGTCAACTCGTTCCTGTGAAATTACGTAGGCCGTAATGGTCGAAGAGTTTATCGTTGCGCTGTCCAGACGAGCGACGCTGCTCCTCACCCGACACGCTTCTTGTTTACCGAGCGGGAGTCCTGGACTGGCTCTGCGGGCCACACGACCCGCCATTCATTTAGAACGTGACGGGAACTTCTGCGCCGCTCTGCCACGGCGGGCCCAGATAACTTCCTCTGCTCCCCCAAACAACCCGGCCCGGCCCTAGATAACCCCTTCCCGCCAGCCCGGATGATCTCGGTCCTACCTCACCGCCACAGACAACACTACATACCCAAAGAATTCCCGCAGTTTCTCCTAAATAACTACCACCGCCACTCCAGATAACTCCATAACTCATCTCATCTCACTCATCTATAATAACTCATCTACCATTCCCGCTCCACATAGCTTTACAACCGTCACGCAATAACTCAGTTGTAACTCCCAAGAACCCGTAACAATCACCATCTCTGTTTCCGTATCCGCTACTTCCGCTACTTAACGCAATTGGTGAGCGACGTTACGCGCCTTCCTCGGTTGCGGCGGCGCCCGACGTGGCTTGGCCAGCTGAGACGACACGCTGTTTTCCCGTCGAGGGTGGGGCGGGACGGCCGGTGTCGCACGGCCCGCTGTCCTCCCACCCGCGTGGGTGGGATAGGGCGTCGTCCGATATGGTGCGGCTTCCTGTCTCCCATCGCGATCGGGGCGTGACGGTCGGTATGGCACGGCACGGGCTGTCCTCCCGCCGCGGGCCGGTGTCCGCACCGACCGGTGTCGCGCGGCGGGGCGCAGACGGGCGCGCGGCCGCGGCGTCTGGCCGGGCGTTTATGGGGTGCTCGGTGGGCCGTTTATGGACCGCCTCTGGTGGGGTTTATGTGCGCCGGTCCGCCCGTGTGCGTTCCCCGCTGAGACTGCGGTTTGACGCCGATCGGTGACGTGTGCCGCAGCTGGTGGCCTACAGGGATCAGACGGACCTCGGCAGCTTACACCCACAAACCAAACGCTACGTCGAGAAGCGGATCCAGCGCGGCAAACGGAACGGCCTCCACCTGGACCGGGCGACGCGTGACAAACTGCAGGTGGGTACACAGCTCCTTAGTATGGACAAACGACAGCTTAAGCACGGCAGACAGACTGCCCGCGACACACTACAGGTGGGTCCGCGGTACGCACAGACGGTCCGCTGTACGGACAGATGGACAGTCAGGGCACGGACGTCATGTAGACGGTCCGGGACAAACTGCAGGTAGGTCCGTATGGGCAGACGGACTGGGCAGTGGGCACTGGCAGACAGACTACCGTAAAGTGGGGCTATTTGAGACAGTATTTAAAATCGCTATAAAATGAAGATCGTTTGATTTTGGTGATATTTTTGCTCAGGGAGGTGTGGAATCGAGCAGTAAATCGCCTGAGCAAAAAAAAAATTAAGCATAAATTTTAAGTGGTTTTTATTTTATAGCAATTTTAAATACTGTCTCAAATAGCCCCACTGTCTCAAATAGCCCCACCTTACGGTATGGTGATGGTAGACGATCTGGGCACTGGCAGACAGGCTGTGGCACTAACAGACGGACTGGACACGAGACTACGTTTGATTGGTTGAGCCCCACGAAGGTGAGCTAGCTAGAATGGCGAGATCAGAGGGAGCCAAAGTTACGTATCTTATTTGCTCCCGGGAGCAAAATTTACCCAACAGCATTGTGACTACCGGTACCTAGAAGTTTAGTTTATGAGTACCTGCGAATTTCTGTTTTAGATGCTCTCGTGAAGATAGTGATTTAGCTTATTGTTTGTGGGCTGTTCAGCTCCACTTGATTTACCTGCGGGGCCTCGGGCTGTAAGCGATGGGCGATCGAGCGCCGGTCCAATGGGCTGGTAGTACCGTGGTATGCGAACACTGCACTTAATGAGATGATACGGCTCTGCACGTGTTTATGGGCCGGCACACCCATACAGTAACTCTGGGGAATAGCCAGCTTTATCGGTCCTTGGCCACGTCTTTGTGGGTGAGTATTATCACCCGTTATTGAGATAGGGATCACACATGTGCTGGGCGCATGCACGCCTCACCTCTGATTTATGGGTAAATTTCTGATCTTGAAGCCACGGGTCAATCAGGCGAGTTGTCAAACTCGGAACGTCAGATGTCTATCGAGCTGATGGACCTGGTTCGAACGTCAGTACGGGCCAGGTCCATATTTTAGTAAAAAAAAAAATGCTGCCATTCGATAAATGGCAGCATTTATCGAATATCAGCTGCCAAATCACCGCTAGGCTGCGCGTGCAAACTTCTGCCGTGCCTTTTACGGAAAAGCGCTTTTGAGCAGAGACCATGCTTGCACGCAGCTGTGGCTAGTTGATTTGATCAATTGCTGATTCAAATTACGAATACTGAAACGCATATGGTTTGACAAATTCATGTCATCGAATTTCGAGTTTCCAGCATTTTTAATCCTGCGTAAATTAACGAGCGGTACGCCCTTTATTTATGCAAGAAGAATATCGCGCACTCCCTCGCAGTTGGATCGAATCGAATTCATATCCATCCGCTCACTGGTGTCCCAATTTACCTTGATCGGTTCACAGCGTGACCGGTGCTGCATCCCAACATTCCTGTAAACTCGCTGTTTATGCAGTAAATGCCTCATTGCGTGATCACTGAATCACCACAAACGTGCCGGTCGATGTGCCGTTCGAAAGAAATGCCAAACATGGAAGCTGCTCGCAGTTCCCGTACGTGCTATTTTTGCTTACTGCATGATGCGAATTATGGCAGACATGAAGCCCACGGTCAGCCCCAGCGAACGGTTGAGCAATGCTAAGAACGGTACACAAAATGGCACTTATATGCTACGGTTAGACAGGCCACACGTGCGGAAAGTATGCTGGATTCTCAAACCTCAGTGATGAGCCGACATCAAATCATATCATCAACGAGTGACCAACCTAATGATAGGCAATATTATATGGTTAAAATAATTCCCAATCAAATAGCGATGGGCCTGCACGGATAAATAGATCGCTGACTTTTTCACAGTGAAATAGGTAGACACCTAATGTCGAACATCGTTTCAGCTGTTTCCTAAATACCTCACCGCCGTGGTTTCAGGACCTGCGGACGCGCATCTCCGAGCTGACGATCGAGTACATGAAGAACTGCAACGAAGATGACACGTGGGTGCCTTTCACGGACGCCGAGCTGGCTGGCGTGCCCGACACCTTCCTGCAGAGCCTCGAGAAGACGGACGACGGCCGGCGCAAGGTCACCGTGCTCGCGCCCCACTTCATCGTGCTGAAAAAGTGCTCGGTGAGTGCCGATGGGGGACGGGAAGGGAGAAGGGAGGGAGGGTGCTGGGCGTGGGAGCTGTGTAGAAGTGTTTGTGTGCATCGGGTGGTCTGTCAGTGTATGACGGGGCTCTGAGGTCAAAGGAGTTCCGTGGTCCCGGGTCCGAGTGGCAGCGTAAAGTCCCAAGTTCAGGCTCGGCGATGTGTTCAATAGGAGGCGTTTCGGTATTTCACAGGATGGCAGGAACACGTGCGGTACTCTACCGACATATTTGGGATGCTCGGTGGCTGTTGTAGCACAGCAGCCCCTCCTGTCGGTGTTGTCACATTCATTGAACAGACTGCGGCTCTCCGGCGGGTGGTTACCCTGACACAGGTCACAGGTGCCGCCCCAGTAACCGGTACCGCCGCCTCCCCGTACCTCCGTCCGGTGTGGTTCCCCTCCGCGCCGCGCGCCCACAAAGCCAGGTGATTCGCCGAACGGCGCCGGCCGGCAGGCTGCGTTCGGACTGAAAACTGTGCGCCCGGCCGGCGCCGGCAGGCCATGAGATCACCGGCGCACTGTGTCGTGCGGTTTTGTGAACGCCTCTGCACGTCATGCTTCTGGCTAGCTCGGCGCGCTAACCAGTTCGTGATATCGACCAGAGCTCGTTATTGTGATGCAATTTTATTCGGCCACTCTAAGGTTTTCCTCGAAAGTCATGTAATGTCCTTGTTTTCGGGACGTAACTTTTAAAGGGGCTCATCGTTCCTGGAAAACTACGAAATCCGGTCGTGCGGCCGGCGGAGCGGCGATAAGTGCATTACGGCCGGACCGGATCGGACCGCTGGTGGTCCAAATCGGACCGATCGCGGCGCCCGGCGCCCGGAAAGTCGCCGTGTCGCTGCAGCGGGCCGCTGACATGCGGTCATGTCGCGAGGATCCGCCCTGCGCGCGCGCGCGCGTCACTCGCGGCCGGGAATTGCCCGATTTGGAGCGAGGCATGTCGCTCGGCCCACGTCACTCGGCCGGTGGTGCCGCCGGCGGCCGGAGCTTCTCAATGACCGGAGACACGTTCAATATGTACGATCGCCATAGCGGGCGGCGGCCGGGCCGGCGGCGCCGCGGTGCCATTGAGCCGGCTCGCCGCCGCCGACGATGCTGCTCTAATCTGAGAGCTTTACCGTGTCTGAGTCGCCAATATTTATGTGGCGGGCGCCGGCTTGAAAGGCCGGCCCGGTGGAGAAGGTGATAACGCTGTGACCCCCGGTACCGGTCTGCGAGCCGTCACAGGCTCAGGCCTCAGCTGTGACCCGCCAACTTCCCTGTAACCATACGCCGTAAATAGTTACTGCACAGACGTAAAAATTTGGCCATTATTTATCGCCGGCATGGCCTAAGCAAATGGCAGACGTGTGTGGCAGGAGTGTTGCAGATGCACCGCGCTTCCATTCAGGGATGTGAAATGATGGGCTGCAGTAAAAGTCTTCTCTGGACGGTCTGAAAGCGTTTATGGATGACTGCGCTCGTTGCTGGACGGCTGTGCAGTCTGCTGCTCTCTGACCCGTCTCTGAATACTCTCTCTCTCCCGGCCTATGACCTGCCTCTGACCCCTCCCCTCTCTGCCTCCCGACAGGTGGCTGAGACGCGCAGGAAGCTGACACACGCGCGCGCCGCTAAATGCATGAAGTCCAACACACCACTGATCGAGGAGTTCGTCCAGTACTTTCACCAGCTGGCCAACGTGCTCGGCTACCCGACCAACGCGCACTACAAGACCGAGATCAAGATGAGCAAGACGCCCGAGACGGTGTCTGCGTTCCTGAGCGACCTCAAGGAGAAGCTGCAGCCTCTGTGGGCAGAGGAGCGCCGCCTGTTCCTGCAGTACAAGGAGGAGGAGTGCGCGGCGGCCGGTGTACCGTTCGACGGCCAGATCCACGTCTGGGACGTCTCCTATTACAGCGCCATGGCCGAGGAGCGCAAGTACGCCGTCAACCACGAGGCGCTGCGCGACTACTTCCCCGTGGACCGGGTGACGCGCGGCATGTTTCAGATCTACGAGAGGCTGCTGGGACTGCGCTTCAGCGAGCAGCCCGGCGCCGAGGTCTGGCACGAAGACGTGAAGCTCTACCGCGTCCAGGAGGCCGACAGCGGCCAGCTGACCGGCTACTTCTACCTGGACCTCTACCCGCGCGACGGCAAGTACGACCACTTCTGCGTGGACTCACTGCGCACGGGCCGGCAGCGCGGCGACCACTACGAGCTGCCCGTCTGCGTCATGCTGGCCAACTTCCCCAAACCGACGGCCGACAAGCCGGCGCTCTTCAGCCACGAGGAGGTCGAGACCTTCTTCCACGAGTTCGGCCACGCCATGCACTGCATCTGCTCGCGGGCCAGATACACAATGTAAGTGGGCCGGCGCCGCCGCCTCCCTCCCTGCCACTCAGGCCCGGCTGGAGCATGCCATTTGGGGAGCTAAGGCCTTATAGCAATCCAGTTTTCCGCATGGTGGGGGCGGGTGAAAATGGTTGGTTCCACTGAAGTGCCAGTTTGACGCGTTTTTTCCGTATCCATGCTGGTATATAAAATATGTCCCTGGCACCTGGACTCCGAAGTCCGAACCCCTCCCGTTCTCTCTATGTCGCTGCTAATGACCAGCGTGCCGGCTTCTGTACCCACGCTGAACCCATTACCAGGCCCCACCTTCGCCCCACCCATAACGTGACTGCTTCGATATGACGCCATTTTATATTCGGCCGCACGGTGGTTATCGGAAGACGACACGACACGCCCTTGACGACACGGGTGTGCGAGTTCGATTGGGACTTTGGCACAATGAATTACAATTATTAATATGTGCGGCAGCCTTGCGGAACAGCACGCCTATCGCGGCGTTGGTGACGGATATTGTGCAAAGGACCGTTTTTATTTGCATTAATCACAATGACACTGGAGCTTTAGGGCTTTGTAGCGTGCACGGCCTGCGTTTTTATCGATGCTGTCCTATTAAAACCTGTTCCTTTGCATATCAAAGTTTCAATTCTTAAAGAATATCGGCTGCTTGTGAAGGGAATCTTAAAATTAATTTTGATATCAGAGAGAATGTTAAAACAGCACCCGACTTATATGGCAGAACAATGCCAGGATGTCTCGATTACTTTCATCGGTCATTTGATGTTCATTGTTTAGTAAGTCCGATTATTTGATAGGACGAGGTGCCACTGGTCCCTGTATCTTTTTGTAGGCTGTTCTTGCTGATGCGCTGCGGTACATACCGCGAATGACGCTCGGTAAATGTTGATAGTATAGTGATAAGTGCTGGTCATTTTGACAGTCTGTTGACCAAATAGCCGGGATCTTTGACCGAGCTCACATTTTGCGTATGTTTCTTGGAACGGCAGCGTGCGCATTAGATGAGCGGTTACTGGCGTTCTCCAGAAACTGTCGACGCGACAGCGCTGTCGGCTGCGCGGGGCCAATGCAGGGCATGCCAACTTACACGCCGTGCCTGCCATTGAAAATACTGAGAAAGATGTGAAAACTGATACGGCTGTTACCAGTAATCAAAGGTCGGATGGCACGCGAATAAGTTGGTCCGTTTCGTCCCTCTTGGGGGGGGGAGGGGGGGGGGGGGCTATTCATAGCCTTTTCTGCAATAACTTCTAAGCCGCTTATCGTATCGACGCCAAACTTTAATTATCTTCGGCTGCATCAATTTGACTCCTTGTGTCAAACATGAACTTCGTAGCTACCATAGGTCGGCCGGAAATGACGTCAGAGTGACGTCATGTTCGGCCGATTTCGACGCAAAACATTGAACCACGGCAATCGCTCCCAAGAGCTCAGTTTTTAAGCTAGATCCAATTTCTTTGCATGAGAGGACTCAGAATAGACTGCGCTATCAAACTGCTATCTTGGATTTTTAAAATTATGGGAATTTTGAAAATTAAAATTCACAATTTATATTTTTATCTTTTTTCAAAAGTGTTGACTTTTCGAAAAACCGGAATATATGTGATAGAATACATGCGTATGACTAACTCTAGCAGGTTTTAGCCAGATATTTTCAGAAATGGCCAAGTTATACGCATTATAGCAAAAATTTCACAATTAAAAATTTTCAATTCAATTTTTCAGTACGTATTTGACATTGTACACCAATATAAATAGCACTATCGTGTTCCTGAGCTCAAACTGCATCCAATAGACACATTTTTTGTTGAAAAAATTTCAACTTAAAAATTTGACCCTTTTTGACCTGAGAGTGGCCGGACCTAAGCTAAATTCAACTCAAAATGACCTCGAATGACATAAACGACATCGAATTCGAGATCTATGGCCTAAATGACCATAAAACATGTGTCACGTGACCTACGCATGATATAAGATTTCCGTGACCTGTGATGACCTGACCCTGACCTGAAAATCAAAGTACAAGTTTGGTACCCTCAGGGTATCTAAAGCCTCTGCTCACGAGTGTGTAAACCAAAAATGAGCCTGATCTGACTTGCAAGACGACGGCCAGAGCCTAAAATGTGAACAAGCCAAACATCGATAATTTTTACTTTGACCGACCTGTGACGTCATCAGTGACCTCGAGGTCAATGAAATTAGGTTTCGCTGGACAGTTTTTCCGGGGCTATCAGACGCCGTTTGAATTTTGACGATCGGCCCAGTAGTTTCGGAGTTAGAAGGGGGGGGGGGCTATGAATTACCCCCCCCCCCCCCCCCCAGTAGGGCGCGTTATACGCAGACTCCGGTGGGGCGCGGGTTAAAATTGTTCCGTTAAAAGTAAAATGTACTAAAAGAATTGATAAGTTTAGTTTCGGTATTGTTCCAAAAGCGCGGCTTTGTTCCGAACCCTGAGCAAAGACGGTTTATTTATTTCTGAATCTATGAGGATTCTCGAGCACGCCACTGCTCGTCCGCCGAGTTTCGTTCACATTAATCGCTGCTGGTTTGCTGGAAGGTCTGGGGACGGCTCCGGCCGGGGACGGTGCCGGTGGCGTCACCCGCTATCGGCGTGTTGCTCCCGCCGCCCCGTCCTGTCCTGTCCCGGCGGCATGCAGCGGGCGTGTCGGCGGTACCCTATCAGCTCGCGGCGGCGGGCGGGCCGGCCTCCGACCGCCGCGCTGTGTAGCGGGCCGCGGCCGCGTGCCTCCGCCACATCCGTGCACGGACCGCTCGTATTTGGCGCTGCTACGTTAGTCGGACCAGAGGTGCCGCTGTCCTGTGCCCGTGTCGCGCCTTATCGCACCGTCCTAATTCATGTCGGACGTTTTTAGGCACGTAACGTAATTCACTTTGCTGTTTGTTGGGTATCATGGGCATCTGGCAGGACCACGCGAAGCCGTTTTCCTGCTGTGCTCTGAGCGTGACCTTTCCTGCGCTGTTGAAGGTATCTGGGGAAGGCCCTCGTTCGTGCTAATTAAGACCGCTCTGTTTCCTGATAGTAACGCGAACCGTATTTGGAGATTACACGTGTTGTTGTTTCAAACCTTGGTGTTTCGCTGACCTTACCGGGCTCGTGGCTCACCGTTAACTACTTACTTACCCATGTGGGTCCGTCACGTTTGCCTTCTACCGCACGGGACATGCTTTTTTAAAAGGCTGACATTGTGCTTACCAATGAACTACAAACATGGCTCGAACACTAACCGGAAACACTCGACACGATCTGACCTGGGCGCTCTCCGCTGTTTCCCACCTGACGGGTGGCTGATCTGACCTTATCACTCTCAGCCACCTGCGGGGTGACCTGTCGTGACCTGACCGTGCTGAGACACCTGACGGGACCAGAAGTGACTGGTGTTCTCGCCTGACCTGACGGCGCTGTCCTGCCATGTGACCTGCCATGACCGGTGTCGCCTGCCGGGTGACCTGACCTGCGCTAACCGCTCTCTCCCCGTCGTGCCGCCAGGTTCGCCGGCACCAGTGTGGAGGGCGACTTTGTGGAGGCGCCCAGTCAGATGCTGGAGAACTGGGTGTGGGAGCCCGAGCCGCTGGCACTCATGTCGGGCCACTACAAGGACGGCTCGCCACTGCCGGCCGACCTGCTCGAGACGCTGGTGCGCTCCCGGCAGGCCAACAGCGGCATCTTCAACCTGCGCCAGGTGGCGCTCTCCATGTTCGACCAGATCATCTTCTCTCAGCCGCAGTCGGACACGGCCGAGATCTTCCGCCAGGTGTACAAAGACGTGACCGGCATCGACACCATGCCCGACACCAACTTCGCCGCCTCGTTCGGCCACATGGCCGGCGGCTACGACGCTAATTACTACGGCTACCTCTGGAGCGAGGTCTACAGCGTCGACATGTTCGAGGCGCGCTTCAAGAAGGAGGGCATCCTGTCGCCGGAGGTGGGCCGCGACTACCGGCGCTGCATCCTCGAGCCGGGCTCCACCATCGACGCGGCCGACATGCTGCGCAACTTCCTGGGCCGCGAGCCGAGCCGGGAGGCGTTCCTCAGGAGCAAGGGCCTGTCGGTATAGGCGGCCGGCCGACCGGCGCCCGCCGCCGCTGGACTCTAACCAGGTCTGAATACCTCACCGGGCGACTGCGGCGCGCCCCAGACAGTGTGTAGAGTTTGCAGTATTAGTTCGTTCCGCCGCGCGCCCGGCGCGCGCGCCGCACCCTGTTGTGCTCGTGTTCCTGAGAGCCCCGTGCTCGCCAACTCTCCGATGCGGCTCTCTGGAGCCGACGCCAGAGCCGCCGAATTTTGTGGCCAACGCGCGATCCACACTGACCCACAAACGCCTCAATGAATGCCTGGGACGGCGGCGGCCGTGTTTGTTAGGGAGGTCGCCGGGCCGGGCTCCCCGGGCCGCCCGTGTTGTGTGTGGTGCAGCTGAGTGCTGGCTGGGAGACGGCGCCGGCCGGCACGGTGCGCCATTCCACCCCGCTCGGCGGGGCGCGCTCCCCCGCTGGTCGGTTGTCGCTGCGCCGATTTCTGGTTGTGTTTTACCTGTTTGCGTGCGATGGTTGCTGGTTGCGGCTGCTGAGCGCACAGAGCTCGATAACTGAATGGCCGCCCCGAGCCGTCACTTGTAATACCACGGGGCGGGGCTGCGTGATGCTGCAGCACCGAAAATACAGAGACGCATGCAGTGTTGCAGACGGGTTTGGCTGAGGGCCGCGAAGGCCGCCTCCTGCGCGGCGGAGGTCGGCGCCGGGCGCCGGGAGGAGGCCTACAATTAGCCCATAACACGGCGCGGTACGGCGCCGGCTGGGTGGCGGCTGGGCGGCCGACTCCCACCTGGCAACGGACGGCTCGCTGGAAGGCTGTCTGCGCGGCTGGACGGCCGGCCGCCGCTCCCCGGCCAGTAGCTGGAAGCAGACGTTCTCAGCGCTCCGGTGCCGTAACGGCGGCGGCCGCGGTCGCTTCTCGGTAGACCGGCCCGTCGGCCGCCGACGCGCCACGAGATTACAGGGACGCCAAATAGCGGCCGTGATCGATGGCACAACACGGGAGTAAAGTCCGGCCGGGCGCGCCGGCCAGAGCCGCCTAACGAGCGCCACTTCGCCGAAAGGACAAATATCCTTCCAGAGAAGTAGTCGTAGCGCAGCCTGCCGACGGCCGCCGCCACATGCAAGCAGGCCATGCGAGCAGCGCCCGGCCGCTCCGAGCCGGCGACTGCAACAAAGAGCGGCACAGTTCGAACTTCTCGGCTGAGAGCCGGTCCGGGGCGGCGGAGGGGGCGGCCACTCCGTGTGAGGTGCGCCGCCCGGTCATGGAGAGCGTGGTCGGCGACACGCGACCGGAGTATGTCGGGGAGGTCAGTCCACTGGCAGCGGACGGTACCGCCAGAGGTGCGTTCGACATGCCGGGCCGACTCTGGGAAGGCTCGCGGGGCGTGACAAACCTCACTTCGAGCGTGACTGGTGTGATCGCCCTCCGAGAAACGGCCGAGGGAAGGGACGACAGTCGGTTATCGTGAAACGCTCCGGAACGGTGGAGGGCGAAGACTTGCCTGCCGTTTTGATGGGAAGAAATGGTAGCTAGAAAGGCTTTTTTAGCAATCGAGTGCGCGTACAAAAACATATTATCTTGTGTCTGCTAGCAAAACAGGTACAAATGGAAAAGAGATTCAATACCAGGATAGTGTGTGTTCATTTCAACTTGCAAGTGTTAACTTTCACTCTGGTGAGCAGCCTGGACGTAGAGACTCGCAGTTCAATTAGAAACACATCGGCTTTCAGTAGACGCCACGTCAGCTCTCAGCTGTTCGGACTGTGCATATTTACGCTGCTACCGAGCCGACATTGACGGACTGCGCGCAAAGTAAGGTCTGATCGACAGGTACGGTTGACACTCGCGCTAGTTAGGCCGGCTCGTATACGTTAGGTAATGCCGCCGTCGGATCGGGCCCCGATCAACGTCTGATATTGGTGCAGGGTGTGTCACCGCCACAAAAACCTGGCGGCCTCGCGGCTCGGCCGGCGGAGCCCCGTGGGCCTCAGGGGCCGCCACGTGCAATCAGTGCCGGCGTAATGGGCGGGGCGGGACGTGCGAGTGTGCCTTTCGGCAGCATCGTATATACGTAATCGTCGCCACAGACACTCGAAAGTAAAAGGCTCGAAATTCGAAGTAATTGTCTGAATTACATTAACAGCGAAAATACGTTTAGCTATGAATCTACCAGCATACGAGAACATGCAAAACATTCACTCTTCCGTGGACGGCCAACGATAGTATGAATAGCCTAATTTGAAAGTGGGGAATGCATGCAAGTGATAAGGACCATGCTTTCCAAGGCTGGTTAGCAAACATGGAAGTCGGTCACTTTCCGGGTTCAACAGGCATATCTTATGAGCAAAACCTGACATCACTGTCAAAATGGTTCATCACTTTTCGCGAAGCGTGCTTAAATTTACGGAACACAAGATAACGTGTTCCGGATTCCACGGAATATGATTGTGAAGTTATAACAAAAGGTATCACTCCTGGGGCCGATTACACGTAGTCAGTGCAATTGACAATTCAGCAGAAAATTAACAGCAACTCCGTGTGCACCAACAAACCGGCTTGACAACAGCACAGGGCCGCGCGACTCGGCGGAAAAACGCCGGTCGAAGGCCGCCGTGAGCCGGGAATCACGGCTAGCGGCCGAGCATGACGTAAGCCAGACGAGACGTTCTGTCTGTCTGCACCGCTAAAAGTCGTGATCAAGGGGTGATGGCCATCTCATCATCTGGAGGTCGTACGGAGCCAGCCAGCCGGCCGGTGCTATCTGCCTCATATCCACAATCTAATCACAGCAAAGTCCGTGGCAACAAGCAACCGGCTGTCTTCAGGAACTGCTAACGAGGTGCGGCAAGTCCAAAATAAAGTTCCAGGCCAGCCCCGACAAACATCCCTGACCAGACGTGTCAGCAGAGCAAGGCGGTCACAAACACAAACACAGTGGAGCGAACCGCAACACGGACACACAGATTACTCACACCTTCATGTCGGGCGACCAGAGACGCGGCCGCACGGCTGTCACACAAACACAGATTTCCTCGTTCCACACCTCCCGAACACAGAAAAAGTGGCCGCCGTTCTGCCAGTCATGGCAGATCGGTGGTTTTTCGCCCCCGATGGCCGCCACAAGGTCGTGTGAAGCCGTCAAAACGCGACCGTGTCCAGTCGCGCTCCGCTCGGCCGCTTCCCTACGGTCGTAGGTTTGATGTCCGTCCCTTCCAAAAAGTGGGGTCGCCACGCCTGGGAGCGCTTGCCCAGGCCGCGGAGCGAGCCCTCTGGAGACGGTGGGATGGTTCGGCGCGCTGCAGACGCCCAGACATGTCAAATGAAAGAGTCTCTGACAAAGGTGTGACTGAAGCGAGTTAGACAGATGCACACAACGAAAGTCACGATGCGGTAACTTGACGGTAGCTGAATTACCCACAGGTTAGTGGCGAAATTATATCGTTTCACTGACGTACTCATGACGACGCGGGTCGGGTCAGATGCGATCTTACGGTCAGCGAGAAGAGACGTTAAAAACTTAGACGTGCGAGCATATCTCGCGCACAGCACCTTTGCCCCACAGACCTGTCCCAAGAACGTTTACCGACGGGCCACAACTGCACCCGTCACATGGGCACGAAACCAAAGGAAGCATGCATCAAAATCATGGACATATTGTGTCGTAACAGGAACCGCAATTCTCCACATCGAAGGAAATACCCGTCCGTGAACCCAGTCAACTGGCACGGGCGTGGGACGGGGTCGGCAACAGCCTCGCCGTGGAAAAACCGTCCGATTAGGTACTCGTCCGTGGTCGATGGGGCGACGCATCATGTCATCAATTCACGGTGCTTTTAGCTTATCGTGACATAAAAATACCACCAACGAGGAACGGGGCGCGGTCAGGTCAGCGGAAGTGTGTGCGCGATATTCCGTGGCTCTCTCGTTACTGTGTGTACGCGGCGGGCAGCCTCTTGCCGTGCGAGTATTTTGCTCGACGAAAGGGTGCAGGCGGGGCCAGGGCGGCCGAGGCCGGCACCGCGCGCCGAGCCTAACCAGAACTAATGGCCACCCGGGCGCACGGCCACTTGTTCAATTTGACGATGATGAATTGCTGTGTGAAGCCACGCCGCCGGTTCCGGCAAACGGCGGCCGCAGTGACCGTGCGGAATTTTCATGTCAAGTGAATGACGGCTTTCCTTCCAGTTCCCGGAGCGGCCGCGCAGGCTCCACTGGGCCGGTACTTGGTGGGGCTTCGGCCGTCAGAGGGGGCTGCTGAAAGGCAGGGATGTGGTGCAACGAGGAAACCTAGTTCGCTCTGTCTACAATAACCCTCCACCACCAGCAACTCCAGAAAACAGCGAGCCACTTTCATCATTGAACATCATATTCAAAAGGACCAGAAGTTCCGGCTGAGCAGCATACACACAGAATCACGATTTAAAAAATATCAGCCTCTCACAGCTCCATTCACACAATTAACACGCCACGACCAAGACCGCATACGCACCGGGCAGGCTCACTGCAGCATTGCACGAATGACATTCGGGCCGGGCGCGGCGCGGTCGACTCCTCGGACCGAGTCATTACGCTCTGTTGGCACCGTTTCGCTATAACCGACGCCGGCGGCCGTGCCGTGCCGTGCCGTTCGTCTCGAGTGGTCAGTTCCCGGCACGGCGGTCGCCGCCGGCCGCCGCCGGTCGGCCGCAGCACGCAGACGGGAAGGCCGTCAGGCGGTCACTCGCCGTCCGCCCGGCGCGGGCTCCGCCGCCAGTCCGTCTTCCTCCAGTTCCGGCGTCATCACGTCAGCGCACATCGCGTCATCCCTAAAGCTCGCCGGGGCCGCGACTCGCCACCGGCCGGCAGAGGCCGAGACCGAGCTAACAGTGTCCGCAGTTCGCCGGAAAACGGACACCCCTCCCGGATCCCTCCTCTCCCTCTCATAAAACAGCGCTACAACGAGCTGCACGAACACCCTGTCAGCACCGCACTGACAACTACCTCAGAATTCAGAAAGCATCATCTGAAAACACTACCTGAACGAGACTTAGCACTGTGAAACAACATTCCGATCACGCGCACACTTTTGTTGAAGGCTGGGTAACAAAAATATCACGAGCAACAACTAGCATCGGTTATCAGCAATATTATGACAACAGTACTCGGGAAGAACGCTATTTTTAGCGCTCGGTTTGCCCATGGGACTTCCAATGATGATCCGACCCGGAGTGAAAATCGCTGCATTTCCTACCACGGGAGAAAACCACACACCGACTGCGATTTCCCATCGCATCACTGGCCTGTGGCGCAGGCACCTGCTGCGTCCATTACGGAGGGCGCTGCTGTCAGCGGTCAGACCAGCCCTGACCTCACCGGGGCTGTCCCCAGGCACCAGTGGAAGTCGTCCCAGGCGCCATCGGCAGCTGTCCGCTCCCCGTCCCCACGTCACTCACGGAAGACCTTCCATTCCCAGAGGTCGGCGGCGAATACATACAGTGTCTCCCGAACTCTTCATTGGCCGGGACCAGCCAGCCCGTACCGTCTGACTGGCCGCATAGGACAGCTCCGAACGTCAAACAGCTCTGAATCTGGGCAGCTGATTCGGTCTCCTATCCGCCCCTGTACCCTCTTCTGCTGCAGCAGTCATCCATCCGGGCCAGGCG